ATTGTTCTGAATTTGGCTTCTGTGGCCTCCTGAGATGTACTAATTCTTTGAGTACTCTTGAACATGGGGCATTCTGGGCTCATCCCTTTCTCTTGCTGCGTCTCAGGGCTCAGCCCTGGCTCCTTCCAGTGGGGAACTGTATTTAGAAATCAGGACCTGGAGCAGGGGAGAGCTTTGCTGGTAGACTCTCAGTGGGCATGGGTGGAGATCGCATATGTGCACCCATACGTGTACGTGCACACGTTTACATCTGTTTCCATGTGTGGCTGCTTATGTATGTACATACACATGTATACATGTGAGCCCATTCCAGTCCAGCACTGCAAGGGTGATCCTGGCTTCCTCCCTTCACTACGTGGAGGAGCCAGGCGCTGGTTCTCCTCGACGTGCTTCTGAAGGGAGGGATCCCTCTGTGGATGACTGTCCTGTCACTGCTGCTCTGCTTCCAGCAGGCGGGTACCCGATCCCGCACTTGGCTGGCACTGTGCCTGTCACAGACTTCCTCCTCACCTCACTTGATCTGTAGTACCCTTATGAGGACATCCCTATCTGGGGGTGCCCTTTGTGCCCCGCTTGGCCCCTGACACCCTATGCCAGCCCCCAAATCCTTCATCATCTCACTTGAGGCCTCACCTCTTGTTCTGTACTTCCCTCTACCTGGACACCTGGGTCTGGAGCAGGGGACACCCTCCTCACTGCTGAGCTCTGGTACCTGGGGCGGCCTACTGTCCTTGCCCCCTGTGGCCCCTGACGCTCTGCCCTGGGCTGCTGCCTCTGGCATCGAGCTGGAGCTTTCCCATCTGGCTTGGCTCTTGGGTTCTGCATGTGTTCCCCTCCCTGCTCTTGGGTTTTCCTACAGTGACTTTGTTTTTTTTTAGAGACCCTTAGCCTCACTGGCTCAGCGTGGTCCTCTTAAGAGTCACGGAGTCGTTTTTATCATGTTGTTTTGTTTGCCCGCTGGGATGAGTGATCGGCTGTATCTTGCCAATCCATTTTTCACAGAATTATGTGGAACTTCTTCGTACTCCCTCTGTCCTGCCTTATGCTCTGTGAGGTCTCATCTGGAGAGTTCCTGCAAATTGACTAAGCAGATCTGCTCTAGTGTCCCCTCAAGGGATGTGGCAGCTTCCACCTGGTCCTAGACAGCCTAGAGCCAGGATTCCTTCTGGGGTCGGGGTGGACGGGTGTCCAGGTGAAGGGCTCTTGGTGGCCCTGTAAGGGGAAGAGAGGCTTCTAGCAGCTCCTTGATGGCTCACCTGTGTGGATGGGAGCAGCCGGGCGCAGTGCATCTCCTCTTGGGAGTAACAGGCTCTGGGCCCTGCCGGCCTTTTGGTTTTGCTTCCAGGCATGGCACACTGGGGCTTCCGACACAGAGCGGTTCACCAGTGCTGTAAAATCTGTGCTTTGAGTCCCAGGAACTGCCGCTCTATGGAAAATGTACACTGGAGTATTAAGTTACTATTGGATATTTATTTGCAGAAAATTGAGTTTTCTGGATGGTTTTAATCTCAGGTTTTAAAGTAAAAGATCTTTCCAGATTATGTATTTGTTTGAAATTTAAATCAGGATGTAGCAGTTTTTAAAATCAGGATACAAATGAGAAGTACTGCCTTTTAGAACTTTCTGTTTAGTTAATTAAACCAAAAGAGAAGCTGGATACAGAATTTAGGATTTAAGATTTTTTTTTAGAGATGGAGTCTTACTTTATTACCCAGGCCAGAGTGCAGTGGCATGATCTTGGCTCACTACAACTTCCACCTCCTGGTTCAAGCGATTCTCTTGCCTCAGCCTCCCTGAGTAGCTGGGACTACAGATGCACACCACCATGCTTGGCTAATTTTTCCATTTTTAGTAGAGATGGGGTTTCACTCTGTTGACCAGGCTGGCCTTGAACTCCTGAGACAGGCAATCTGCCCACTGTGACCTCCCAAAGTGCTAGGATTACAGGCGTGAGCCACCGCACCCGGCCAGGTTTTGAGATTCAACTCACTTGTGGAAACTCTTGATTTGCTACTGTCTGCGTGAGTGTTATTCAAGAGTGACTTCAAAGTTCAGAGAAATTAGGGCAGGACCGTGAGGAACTAGCAAGAGAGAAGGTACCGATTTGACGGTAGCTGTGACTTACTGCTTCCACATCTTTTCAGTGCCTAACTTGGACATGAATTAAGTATCTTGGGTTTAGATTTTCTAAATCTAACTGGAATTGGACTCTACTGAGTGGATTTATGGAATAGAAGGGCAATGATAACAGGCAAAGTGTCTATTTTCCTGGTTCTTTCTGGAAGAGAACCAAGCTGAATGCCTTTGCATTTCTGTGGGAAGGGCCCTTTCTCTGGCAGGCACGCGCTTGGGCTGGAGTGAGAAGTGGGATTGATTTCTGGGACGCGCGGCTCCCTGCTGCGTGTCGGGAAGTAGAGCAGCGTTGCAGAGCTGCATGTCGCCTTCTCTCTGGGGCTTCACAGCTGTAGCTTCTTGTCTCTGACATGGCCTTTGCAGACTTGAGGTTGGGGTGGCTCTCAGGGGCACAGAGCTCAGGCTGTGGTCGAAGCTGCCAGGAGATTGGCCTGGGGTTCCTGTGGGCAGTCCGGGCTGTGCCATGACCGCCAGCTTGTCTCCTGAGACCAGGGCACGCTGCAGCAGGAATGCAGTCATGTGGTGCTTGGGCCCAGAGCTGTTGACCATAATGGACCTGGGCTTTAAAGCCCTAACTTGCCTAACAGATGGCATTGCTCTGGGCATCTCACTCAACCCTCTGACTCTCAGCCTCTTCTCTGGATCACCGGGACACTCACATCCCTTGGGGTTGTGAGAATTGGGGCCGTGCATGCCCATGTGCTGCGCTGAGCCTGACAGAGCCTGTCCACGGGCTTGCGAGGCCAATGGGCTTTGTGTTCAGCTTAAAACCCGAGGCTGGCTGGGTGCTTTCAAACCTTGCGGCCACTGCAGGCTGTTATTAGGCACATTTTCTGTGTGAACTAGTGGGAATTGCTTAACTTACTTTCACAGTGACTTCTTTGTTTTTAGGATACTGAAGTGTATAAAGCTACAGTAAAAGATGACCTCACCAAGTGGCAGAATGTTCTGAAGGCTCATAGCTCTGTGGACTGGTTAATAGTGATAGTTGAAAATGATGCCAAGAAAAAAAACAAAACCAACATCCTTCCCCGAACCTCTATTGTGGACAAAATAAGAAATGATTTTTGTAATAAACAGAGTGACAGGTAAGTGTATCTTTAATTTTACCCCATTTGGTTAATACCTGACATGGTATGGATTGCTGGCTTCCTGGGTAGTAATGAATACTTACTCAGTGATCTCGAGTGAGCAACTGTGGGGTGCCGTCAGGGAGACCTGGTGCCTGTCCTTGTGGAGTTCCTGTTCAGGCAGGCCAGGGACTCTTAAGCAGTCATCTCCCAAGTGTGCCGCCTGGGAGGAGAAGGTCCTGGGCCCATGATCCTGGGGCGGGGGGGGCTCTTGGTGGGTCCTTTCTGAAGACTGACAGCGGCAAGTCTTGCAGTTCTGTGTAGAACAGGGGACCTTAAACGTTTTTTTCTTTACCATAACACTTACTGAGAGTTCCTAAGAACACAGGTTATAAAATGCTGACCTGACCCCTTCAGAAACTGTAAAAGGGAATCCTGAAACTTTGGCAGTTAATAGATTGCGTGGGCTTTCTTTGCCTGAGCTCTGCTCTCTGTCCTGGGGTAGCTCACTCCCTTTCTCCTCAGTGGTGCCGTTGCCAGCTGAGCCAGCCAGCATCTTCCCTGTAACTGATGGTCTGCATCTCATAGTTTAGCACTGGAACTTAGGCAGGACCTGGGGATTCAGCAGCACACCTGTACCCTGCCCTGGCCCAGCAGGTCGTTACAGCGCATGGTCACCATGCTTATGGTGGTGAGGGTTCAAATGGAGGCTCCAGGGTACTACAACAGCCTGCAGCCAGGCAGCTGGCCTACTCTGCAGCCAAGGGAGGCCCACACTGAGAAAGCAGAGATGGGCTAAGAAATGAAGGGTACGTAGGAGGTAAGGGAGGAGCTCGGCAGGCAGTGCTGGGTGCAGCCTGCAGCCCCAGACTGAGCCCCGCTGTTCTGTCATGTGACTCTCCAGGCGTCAGTGGTAGCTTTTCAGTGGGAGGAGCTGTGGATCGGTGCCTTTTCCATGTTCCACACAATACTGGATACACAATAGTGTTCAAACTTGCTTTTTTTATTGGTTTGAATTAAATAATTAGGTAGTTGAGCTTATGGCTGGCTCATCTTAGAGAAGTTTCATTCAATTTGAACTTCTGGAAACTTCTTTGTAAGGTGTGTTACTCATAAATAAGTTAACCAAAAGGAATCAGCTTAGCATTTAACAAGATGCTACATGATTGAGTGTCCTTCCCCTCTGTGTAGTTCAAATACTGACATTTTTTGTTCTGAAAAGAGTGGACTGCCATGAAACCTGGTAGGAAGAGCAAGCACTCTGTTCCGTTGCCTACCAGGAGCGTGGGCCAGCGCTGACGGAAACTGTGGAGGCAGGACTAGCCGTCAAAACCAAGGGGCCTGGGAGGTTTTTATTCATGTCACAAAAGAAATCATATTTATTTGGGATTATATTAAGTAAACAAATTGGTGCTAATGAGGTCTGTTAGTCTCAACTTGTGAAATGTTCAAATTGTATAATTTTTGCAAAGTACCTATTGATTACTTTTAAGTCTGTGTTTATAATCTTTATCTAATTTCCAATAATATGTTTCCACTGAGCCCATTTAAAATTAACTTGCTTTTTAATGTCTGTCCTTTATGCATTAAATGTAATTTACTAAAATTTTTAATATTTCATCTTTGATAGGTTTAAATATACCTTCTACCATTTGATTTTTATTAATTTGCAAAGCCACCTTTTAACAAATCTTTTTTTTGGCCGTGTACATAGAGTGCTTTATCCTCCACAGAGTGATGCTTGCTAACGTGGGTTGGGATTGGGCTGATGTCTCATATGTACAGAACTGAATAAAGTGGGTCTCTGAGAAGCCTGATGTGCCTTGATGTGGAAAGGGAGATGGGGAAGATGGAAATGGACATGACAACCAGGGATGTGTTCAGTCTCCTGTGCTGGTTCTGGCCTGGAATGTAGGAAGATAAGGCGTCTCTCACTGTGGTCACTTCAGGCAGGGGATGCCTGCCAGGCTTGGAGGGCCTTTTGTACCACATCTTCCCACTGGGCATCCGATATCTCCCGAGCCCAGGCAGGAACCCCTGGCGCAGGCAGGCTTACTCCGGCCATCGTCCTTTTCACCAGCTCTACATGTTCTGGGTACATGGGAACAGAGTTGTGGTTGTTCAACGCTGTAGGTCCTTCCTCATCTTCATCTTCACTCTCTAATGGTGGGTCTGGCAAATGAAGGCCCAGGGCCTGGATTCGATCCTGGATGCCAGCAACTTCATCTCCATCCCCGACTGGTGCCAGCTCCACCTCCTCTTGTTCAGGATCTTGGTTCAGGAGCTGGTAGGAGTAGCTAGCTGGGCCCGACCCTGTTTCCTCCTGTTCTTCCTCAGGCTCCTCGTGGCTCCAATCCCCAGTGCCTTCTGAAGGGCCCTGATGTGGCCCCAGTTCCTCAGTCTGATTGGGGAAGATACACTCAAGGCCCATGCTGTCTCCCTCTAGAACTACTCTTGCCATCCTGGCAGGGTCCACTCAAATCCTGTGGCCTTCACTCAACAAATCTTTTTTTTTTTTTTTTTTAATGTAAAGAGTTTGGTGAGATTTTCATAAATTTGAATTTAATAGAGTCTGTATTGGCAATTGTTTTGTTTTTTGTTTTTTTGTTTTTTTGTTTTTGACAATTGTTTCATTACACAGTATAATTGCTGGCCTTTGAAAATGTTGTAACACTTGGTCCTGAAGTGGCTTACTATTTTTAACTTTAGTCTTGTGTTTAATTTTGATTATGCACACTATATGTTCATTGTAGAATTATTAGAAAAAGATAATGAGCAAAAAGAAAATGGATATTAACTCTTAGTATTTTGGTATGTATCTTTTCAGACTTTTTTCTTTATGCATACATAATACATGTGTGCATTTTAAATTAATATCATACTGTTGTATGTTTTTTGTACTTGCTTTTTTCACTCAATATATTGTAAAAATTTTCCATAAACTATAGATGTATTTCTAGACCCCCCATGTTAGTGAGTGGATAATATTCCATAGTGTTAATATGTCGTAAGTTATTTATACATCCTGCTGCTGGGCTTAGGTTATTGCTTACTTATTGTTATAAACAGCAATGTTACGAACATTTTTCTAGCTCAGATGTTGTGAATGTCCTTAATTATTTCAACATACCTTCCCTAAAGAAAAATTGCTTGGTAACAGGTTTTGTGGATTTTTCGAGTTTTTGCAAAGTGCGAGGCTGGTAGAGGCAAGGTTGACTTGTGATCTGTTTGGGCCCGTGGCCGTCGCGGTGGCTTGCTGAAGCTGCAGGCTGGAGCCCCTTGTTCCACGTGTGCCTCCAGCCCCTGCAGTCTGCCCACCTGGGGGATCATGCTGCCCTCCAGATTGTCCCCACCATCCCTGACTAAATTCATTGTTTTGGGTTCTCCTTTTCTGAGTTAACGATTTAGGCTTGATGTGACCTTCTGAAGTGTAGTTCTTTTTTACTTAAAATTTATGGTGATCTAGAAACAGTCCAAGTTGCAGGGTCTAATAAGAGAGAGGCCATATTGTGACTCTGTGTATCTGATTGATTTCTGGAAACAGTTACTGTTTCAGTGGTTGGCATTTGTGTTAGTTTCCATTTCATTCACCCCTGTAGGTATATAGGAGAATGTGTGTCTGGTTGGGAATAAATGCTGATAATTATATCAACATTGAGAATGCCAGAAGGATAAACTAACAAGCTCATAGGTCCCAGGAAGCTTCTATGGTGGAAAAGTACACGTTAGTCCTCCGGGGACCTTTGGAGTGAGTGGCTCTGGTCCCTTTGTCTTTAAGGGAAGAAAGTATGCAGTGGGTGGATTGAACAGAATGAAAGCCAGACACCAAGTTGTGAGTTTTGTTATTGGTTCTGGTTGTTCACGTGGTAGAACGTGTATAGTGGACACTGCTTCAGTGTTTTGTCCACTGGTTTATATTCCATGAATTTAGCCATCCCTGCAAAGGATATGCTGGGCATGGAGAAAAGGAACTTAGAGTCAGTTTGTTTTGCTACTTTTTGGTAATTCAAATAAAGTATTTACTAAGGAGAACTGGTAAGCTCATAGAATCAATGTTTTAAACTTATTTCTGAGTTCAGATTCATTCATTATCTTTCTAAATTAATTACTATTACCAAGGCTAAAGAAATTTACCATTTCCAGCCTGTCAGATAAATACATTATCCTGTCCAAATCTGTTGGGAACTTTGTGTAATTTTGTGTGTTTGACCTTTTTACGTCATGAGTGCAGCCTCTTTGTAATTGAGCTGTTCAGCCCTATATGTTAAGCCATGCTCTAAGCCTTGATTTGTTACTTGCTTATTAAGGCTCCCTTTGAAGAGCTCATAGGCTAGTGGGAGGGATAGAGGCACAGAGAAGGAGGGTGTTTTCCTGTGAGGCCTGCAGCCTAGCAGCAGTGTGGACAGAGCAGCTGGGGCAGTGGTCGGGAGAGGTTCATTCATGAGGATGCCATGCCTGGGTGGAAGGAATGTGCTCATGAAGAGAGGAGAGCGGGAGGTCAGCAGGCTTGAGCCGGGTAGGAGAGGAAGTAAAGTGAGACATCATGGTCCTCGTATGCTGTGCTGAGAAATCTACATGGATCCTGTCGATCCCAAGGAAGCAGAATGGATTTTGAAGGAGGCAGGAAACTGAGTGAGGTGTGATCCTGTTATTTTACAGATCAGGCTCATGTAAATTCCTTTCTCTCTTTCCAGTTGATTCTATAGCAAACTCTCCTTTAAATTTCTATAGAACTTACTGCTCATGTTCATGATCAGTTCATGATGAAGCCTTTTCCTAACCTGGTTTCTTACCACCTGCCTCATTTTCACTGTTTAAAGAAGAAAGAAGCCAGATGTGATGGCTCATGCCTGTAATCCCAGCACTTTGGGAGGCCGAGGCAGGAAGATTGTTTAAGCCCAGGAGTTTGAGACCAGCCTGGGCAACATAGCAAGACCTCATCTTTGCAAAAAAAAAAAAAAAAATACAAAAATTAACCGGGCATGGTGGTGCATGCCAGCTACTGGGGAGGATCACTTGAGCCTGGGAGGTGGGGGTTGCAGTGAGCCAAGATTGTGCCACTGCACTCCAGCTTGGGCCACAGACAAGACTCTGACTCAGAAAAAAGGAGGGAAGAAGAAGGAAGGAAATGGACGCTCAGGACAGTAGCAGCTGCGGAACAGTGGCACTGTGCATGGAGAGTCTTTCCCAGATAGTCTGTTCATGTCTTTGCAGGTGTGTGGTGCTCTCCGACCCCTTGAAGGACTCTTCACGAACTCAGGAATCCTGGAATGCCTTCCTGACCAAACTCAGGACACTGCTTCTTATGTCTTTTACCAAAAACCTAGGCAAATTTGAGGATGACATGAGAACCTTGAGGGAGAAGAGGACTGAGCCAGGCTGGAGCTTTTGTGAATATTTCATGGTTCAGGTACTTGACTAATTGCAGAACTAGGCAGTTCCTTTCTCTCCCTCCCTCCCTCCCTTGCTCCCTCCCTCCTCTCTCCTTTCTTTCTAAGTGAGTCACCCTTTGTGGTAATCTCATTGGCACAGTTTTTAAAAACAAAAACCTGGAATATCTTTAGAACCAGAAAGTCAGGAAGTGTATGGAAGCAGATGGGGCATCAAAAGGTCACAGGCACTGCCCGAGGAGCCTCCGGTGGCCAAAGCTGGAGCAGCATGAGCGACAGAGTAAATAAGGGTAGAGTTGCTAATATCCATGAATCTGTATTGATAGTCGTCAGTTAAATAAATAAATGGAGGAGAAGGGTCAACTCTTCCCTACAGAAGAATTCCACTTAAACACAGAAGGAAAGAAAAACAAAAAATCACTTTTAGGCCAACACCCCAGCCAGAACTGTTGGAGGCAGGATTACTGATGGATGCCCAGAGTGGTGGGCAAAGGCCTGAGAAGAGGTGGGCTTGCACAGTCTCACGGTGGCCCCTGAGATGTCTGTCAGCTTGAGGAGCAGTAGCCACTCTGCAGTGAGGAAACCGGGTACATACCACCTGAATGAACCGATAAGGCCAATCCCACCTGTGAGGACTTGTGTCCATCTCATGAAATCCTTGGTAAGATGCGCTGAGAAAGACTTAGCATCTTTTCTCTGTAAAAAATGATAATCTCACGACAGTCATGGAACATGTCGAATGAACCTAAGTGGAGGGAGATTAGACAACCTAGCACTCTCCAAGGGTGCCACAGTGGTCAAAGACAGATGGAGAAACTGACAGACTACAGGGGGCTGAAGGAAGCAACAACTCTGGGCTGGGCGGGGGTCGAGGGTAGGGTCTTGGAGCAGAAACAGCTACGTCAGTGGAAAAACCACTGAAACGCCAGTGAGGGCTGTTTAGTTAATAGTATTATACTTAGGTTAATTTTTTGGTTTTGACAATTATACCATGGTCATATAAGATGGCAGTGTTCAGGAAGCTGAGTAAGGGCTATGTGGAAACTAGATTTTTTTTTTTTTTTTTTTTTTTTTGCAACATTTTTGTGGTCTGAGATTGGTTGAGAATTTAAAATGAGTAAGGAAGAAAATTCTGACACATGCTACGGCATGGATGGACCTAGAGGTCATGATGCTGAGTGAAATATTTCAGGCATGTAGGGACAGATACTGTGATTCTGCTTATGTGAGGTTCCGCAAGTGCTCAGATTCAGAGACAGAAGAGGAGCGGGGGTGCCAGGGGCTGGCAGAGGGAGAATGGGAGTGAATGTTTAATGGGACAGAGCCTCTGTTTGGGAAGATGAGAAAGTTTTGGATATTGGCTGCGCACCAGTGTGAGTGCACTTAATGCCACTGAGCTGTACTCTTGGAGTCTTGCTCTGTCACTGAGGCTGGAGTGCAGTGGCGCGATCTCAGCTCACTGCAACCTGTTCACCTGCTGGTTTAAGCGATTCTTCTGCCTCAGCTTTCTGAGTAGCTGGGATTACAGGTGCCCGCCACCACGCCCAGCTAATTTTTATATTTCAATAGAGACAGGGTTTCACCATGATGGCTAGGCTGGTCTCAAACTCCTGGCCTCAAGTGATCTGCCCACCTTGACCTCCCAAAGTGCTGGAATTACAATCGTGAGCCACTGTGCCCGGCCTGAGCTATACTCTTAAAAATGGTTAAGATGGTCAGTTTTAATGTTACATACATTTTATCACAATTTAAAAGAAAAAGATTAGTTTGAGTACTCAGTCTTGAAAATACTTCACAAAGAAAAGGAAGTTCAAGGTAACTTAGCAGTTTCTCTTGTAAATCACAGCCCACTCGTGTTTTCAGGGGAAACAAGATACAAAGGAAGGAAAGGAGAGCTCTCAGTTCTTACCTAGTGAGTGGGACCCGGCCCCTTAGGAGTCCAGGAATAATGTCCACAAGTACATGGGGTAGAACTGGATTCCAAAGACCTGACCATATCAGGGGAGGCTTATGTGGGTGCATATCCTCCTGGGCTTTACTTCTTAATGCTCAGTAACAGAGATCAGAAAGCAATCGCCTGTCACTGTCTCTCTTCATTTTCTCATTCTACAAAGGTTACTGTGCATGGACGGGTGCCAGGCCCTCCTCTCAATGCCGGGACCCATCAGTGCACGTTTCTTATGAGCTTGTGTGACAGTGGAGGAGACACAGGAAACGAAGTGATGCAGATGCTAGGGCGAGAGTGCCGCAGGCAGAGATGGTGTAGGACTTAGCCAAAGCAGAGATGGTGTGGGCGCTGGGCTGAGGGCAGGAGGAGGAGAGGCCCCACTGGGCTGGGACTTAGCCAGAATGGGGATGGTGTGGGCGCTGGGCTGAGGGCAGGAGGAGGAGAGGCCTCACTGGGCCGGGACTTAAGTCAGAGCTGCAGGAGGCTGCAGAGCAAGCCTGTGGATGTTTAGAGGAAGAGGAGGTGTTCCAGGCCCTGGGATGGGGTAGCGCACAGGCCCCCAGGCAGCTGCCTGCCACGCACACGCACATGTGAGCAGCAGTGAAGAGGCCTTGGTGGTGGAGCTGAGTGAGGCCAGAGGGGTGCTGTTGGAAAAGGGTGGGGTGGGAGACATAGATTTTGCAGGGCCTGGGGATGCCTTGAAAGGATTTAGGATTCTCTTTTGAATGTGATGAGCAGCCGCTGACTGAAATGGGGAAGACTGGGCGGAGCACTTGGGAAAGGGTTGGGTTTCCATGTGTAAGCCTGAGCTGTCTGTTAGGGGTCCACACAAGCGTACTGTGCATGCCACTGGAGCCAGAGTCGGGTCTGAGCTGTAGTACTAAACGTGGTGGTTATGATGTGTAGATGGCACACACAGCCATCTCCATATCACTCGGGGGCTCGGTCACTGACAGGGAATAGTGAGTGCTGATAGGAAGGTCCAAGGGCTGAGCCCTGGGGCCTCCAGCAGAGAGCCTGGGAAACAA